TTTTGTGGTTTTGATTTATGTCAAATAATGGCTCATGATTTCAAGCATCTTTTCATGTGTTTATTTGCCATCCATCTATCTTCTTTGTTGAAGTATGTGTTCAAGTCCTTTGCCAACTTTCTCTTGGTTGGTATTTCTTTTAAAGCATTTTCATTAGCATATATTAGAGGGCCATTCATTGTGACATTTCTGTGTGTACTTACAGTGTACCTTGGTTAGGTTCACCCACACAATCTCTTTCCCTCATCCTCCTCCCCCCTACTTAAAATGATTGCAACAGGTTTCATTGTTCTAGTTCATATAATGTAAAGTACATCAACCATATTCAACTTCCTTTATCCTTTCCATTCACTCCTTTCCCTAAGTACCCACTCCCTAACAGCACCTGTTTTACAATCCTGTTGTTCATTTTTAAGTCCATATTCATTGTTCAAAAAGGGTTTCACAGTGGTATTTCAGCTGTACCTTAGTCAGATTAACTCCCTTAATTATTCTCCCTTACCTTTGCCTATTCTACAGCTTTCAGTATGTTTCATTAAGCCATCTTCCTACACAGATTGCTTATTTTCTTATTGCTGATTTTTAAGAATTCTTTACAGAATCTGAAGACAAGTCTTTCCTTTACCAGTTCTGTGCTTTGCAAAGGTTTTCTCCCAGTTTTTTGGCTTATATTTTCATTTCTCTTAAGGTGTCTTAAAGAGCAATTTTTACTGTTTATGAAGCCCAAAGCAGTTTTTAGTTTGTTGCTATGACTTCTATCTTTGGCATTATAGTAAATTTTGCAATAAATTAATATAAACACTCCTTTTGTTCCAATTTATATTTGTTTTGACTATTTTAGGTTGTTGGCCTTTTACTATGAGTTTTAGAATCAGTTTTGATATTTATTAAATTCCTGGTGCAATTTTGGTGAAGGTTACATTGAATCTCTCTAAATATGTATATATATTTATATATATTTATGTGTGTGTGTGTGTGTGTGTTTTGTACATATGTACATATATGTATTTTTTGTGGTTCTGGAGATTGCACCCAGGACCTCACACATGCTAGGACATTGTTGTACCACTGAGCTGCAGCTGCGGTCTTCTTTCCATTTATTTAACCCTCTTTAAATTTGTCACAGACAAAATATACATTGTCTTGGTTTTCTGTATACAAGTCTCACAATAGAATTGTTTACCTTGTTTTTTCTTTTTAATGCTGTTTTACATGAAATTTCATTTTTTTGTTGTGCTGGGTGGGGGTACAGTGTGGCATTTATAAAAGTTCTTACAATTTATCAAATATATCATACTTAAATTCACTTCCTCCACCATTCTCCTTTATCCTTACTCTATGCCTGGAATAATTTTAACAGGTATCATTTTTCCATTTACATACAGGTGTACACAGAATTAACACCATGTTCACTCTCCTACACCCTTTCCCACCTCCTCCTTCCCTTCTTCCCTCCCACTGGCACCACCCCCCCCAAGGCAGGACCTATTCCACCCTTCTGTTCTCCAATTTTGTAAAAGAAAAAAATACCATTTTTGTTTTTTTTAAGATAGCTACACAGGGAGTTTCCTTGTGGCACTTCGTGTATATATGCATTGTTGTCCAGTTTGGTACATGTCTGTTTTTCTTCTTTCTACCTGAGTCCCTTTCTTATGTTGGTTTCAACCAGTTTAAAAATTCTGTATTCATTCTTGTATAGAGAGTACATCAACCATATTCTCCTTCTTAACTTTGTTGTTTTACTCTCCTGCCTCATATGTGAACTTCCCTTAGTGTGACCTATTGCTGTATTTGTATTAGGTCTGTATTCCACATATGAGAGAAAACATATGACTTTTGGCTTTCTGAATCTAAGTTCACTTAAAATGATGTTCTCCAGTTTTCTGCAAATGACAAAATTTCATTCCTCTTTGTGACTGAATAAAATTCCATTATATATAAGTACCTTTTTAAAGCTATTACTATTAGTGTACACACACACACACACGCACACACACACACACATGTAAAACTTAATTTAGTATCTTGGTATTCTGTAACCTTGCTAAACTTGTTTATTAGTCTTATAGGGTTTTGTGGGAGGTTTTGCATGTTTGTTTTAGGATTTTGTATATAAAGATCATGTTGTAAGGAATAAGGACAGATTTACTGTGCATTTCCTATCTGGATGACTTGTTTGTTTTATTGAACTAGATAGAACCTTTAGTAATGTACAAAAGTGATGAAAACCAACCTTGTTCTCATTTCTAATACAAAAGAATTCTGGGTTTTACCATTGAATTTAATGTTAGTTTTGGCTTTTCATGCATGCCCTTTATCAGTTTGAATAACTTCTCTTCTATTTTGAGTTTTCCAAGTGTTTTAATCATGAGTAGATAGTTGATTTTATCAAATACTTTTTCTGCATCTATTGAGGTCACGTGGTTTTTAATCCTTTATTGTGTTAATAGTAAATGACACTATGATTTTCACATGATAAACTAACTTAGAATTCCTGAGATAAATCTCTATCAATCATTGTATATAATCCTTTGCATATTATGCCTCATTTGTTTTGTTAATATGTTAATATTTTTCACCTGTGTTTATGAAGGATGTTGATCTGTAGTTTACTTTTCCTGCTGGGCCTTTGTCTGGCTTTGGTGTCAGGTTATATGTTGATAACACGTACTAGCTTTATAGAATGAAGCCATCTCAGTCTTGCCTTTTCTTTGTGGAAGTTTTATTAACTCTTATCTTGTCATTTCCCTTTCAACAAATGTTATTTAATGGGCAAATGCCTAGAAAAGTTTTTTATATAAGTTTATGAAAATCTCAATGGATTTGTGTGTTCACAGTGTTGTTCGTGACATTTCTATGTAAGCCTTTTGATTTCTGTAGGATCAACAGTGGTAATGTCACATCTTTCATTTCTGGTTTAGGTAATTTATGTTTTCTTTCTTTTTCCATTTTCTGTTTCATAGATTTCCACTTTTGCCTTTATTATAGTCTTTATTCTGCTTGCTTTGGATTTAAGTTGCTCTTTTTCTGGGTTCTCAAGTTTTTGATTTGAGAGTTTTTTTTCTTTGCTGGGATGTTTTTCTTGTCTGATTTAAAGTTATGTGTTTTCTTTAAGTACTACATTAGGAATATCCAGTTAATTTTCATGTTGTATTTTTGTCTCTAGTCAGTTCAAAATACTATCCAATTTCCAATGTGATTTTCTTTTCGGTGATATAAATGGCCAGGTGTGGCAGATATCTGTAATCCTAGCTACTGAGGAGGCTTGAGGTTTGAGGCCAACCCTGGCAAAAGGTGAGTGAGATCCCATCTCAACCAATAAACCAGGCATGGTTGTATATGCCTGGTGTATGTCACCCTAGCTATGTGGGAGGCATAGGTAGGAGGATAATAATCTGAGGCCAGGCTAGGGGGAAGAAATGTGAGACCCTATCTGGTAAAAAAGGACTAGGGGCATGACTTAAGTGGTAGAACCCCTGCTGAGCAGTGTGAGACCCTGAGTTCACACACACACACACACAAAAAAGACAATGTCCAAATCCTTGTAACCTTCCATATGTTCTCTTCCCTAACATCAGTCTGCCTAAGAATTCATCTGCTTCTGAGGCATGTGCTATACTGGTTGTGCTTTGTCACCTTCTCTTTAATAGGCATGCCAACTTCCAATTCACAAAAGAAAGGCCACCTCTCCTACATTTAGAATCTTGTTTTATTGCCCCAGAAATCCTCTGAGGCACAAAATAAAGGAAAAGTTAGAACTACTAGGGTCCTTTTTCTAAAGTAAAATCACAGCAGCAGTGACAGCATCTGGACCCAGATAGAATATATGATTAAAGTCAATTTTCTCTTCAGCTCATAGAGGATGGCTTCCTAGAAGGATCAAGGAAAGGAATTAAGGAAGAAGGAGGAAGTTCCTGTACTTGAAAATTATCATTTCAGAGGACAACTTTAACTGAACACCAAAATTTATGACTATGAGAACTCCATAGCAGATATAGAAGAAATACTGTCATCTCCATGTTATTCACTATTTTCTGTGTACAGAAGAAAATGGCTGAGCCTCAGGTGAATTTTGGTTTGTTGTATTTTTCCTTTGTTTTCCAATGGACTTGTAGTGTGGCCAGAAGAAAAAAAATAACTCCAACTATTTATAAATTGTGATAATTGGGCTCTGAGAAGAAATTAATTTAGACTCTTAATTTCAAAATCAGGGTGAAGTAAGATCAGGAATATATTATTTATAGCAGTCCTATTAATTGGCTAATATTGGAATTGAATATGTGACTGGGGGATCCTGTGGGTTACATTAGCTGTTACATTGCGTCTCATGTCTCTTGACATCTGTCACAACCAGAGAAACACAAAAAGCTCCATTATTTATGTTGACTGTTAGAGAATGCAGACCAGTTTCTCAGTGACATACTTTATGTCACTTAGGTCTTAGGAACTCCCCAGTGGGATGGACAATATTCTTACACATAACTGTCTTTAACCAGAATCTTCCTAATCAACTTCAAGGGTCTTTTGTGCTATATCTTACATAGTTTATTCTTCTACATTTGTCTAAAAGCACTATATTGCTTGAGGTGGTGGCCCACACCTTTAATTCCAGCATTCAGGATATGGAGACAGGAGGATAATGAATTTGTGGGCAGCCTGGCCTACAAAGTGAGACCCTGTCATTCAGACAATCAATATGAGCACTATCTTATAAATTCAGAATATAGAATCTGCTTATGATCAATTCTTATATTGATCCACAAAGCCTGTGGAAATGTAGGAATGTTTTATTTGACTTGTTCTCATTTGCATATGTTAAGTATTCAGAAATAAATGGTAAAATGTATGGATACAAAGATAGGAAGCTGGCATAGTGGAACACACCTGTAATCCCAACACTCAAAAGACTGAGACAAGAAAATTGAGAGTTTGAGACAAGTACATAGTGAGTTCCAAGCCAGCCTGGGTTACATAGTGAAACCATGTCTCAAAACAAACAAAAAAACTAAAGATGTTTGCTATCAGAAAAAGGTATACAGAGGCAGACTGTATGGAGAAAATTGGAAAATTTTTGTCATACGTCTATGTTAAAAACAAGAATGTGATTCCATTAAACAGGACTATGTTATTACAGGAGTCACTGACGATGGAAGATGTGTCCGTGGAATTTACTAAGGAGGAATGGCAGCTCCTGGGCCCTGCTCAGAAGAACCTGTACTGGGATGTGATATTTGAGAACTATTGGAATCTGGTGTCACTAGGTGAAGACAGTTTACTTGCATCACTTAGTACCCCAACACTATCCTTTCCTTTCTTACCTAATGAAACCTTTGTAATTACTGTGGTATTTTGAAGTGTGAGATTTTCAGCTCCCTTTCTCGCCCCAAACAAAATAGTCTAACTTCCCCTATTCTGAAAAAGAACTTTTGCTTTGCATATGAGAAGTTATTTTGTCCCTCAATGTAGTATTTTCCCATTTGACAAACTCACTGTGTCTTTTCTCACAAACAGGATATCAAGCTACCAAACCGTATGAACGCTCCAAGTCGAAACAAACAGAGGAACCGTGGATAAAAGAAGATAAAATCCAGAATAGAACCTGTACAGGTAAGTGGGGTCTTAGTTCCTTTTGTGCTGCTGTCACAGAATATCTTAAGACAGGGTAATTTATAAAGAACAGAGGTAATTTTTTACTCCATTCTAGAATCTAGGAAGTCCAAAATCGAGGGGCCTGCATCCATCAAGGGCCTTTGTGTCAAATCATTCCATGGCAGAAGATGGAAGGGCAAGAAAGCAAGCATGAGAAATAGCAAGAAGGCTAGGCATAGTGGTGCACATCTGTAATCCCAGCTACTTGGGAGATAGTAGCAGGAGAATTGCAAGGTCAAGGCCAGCCCAGGCAAATTTAGTGAGACCCTGTCTCAAAAACAAAAGGCTGGGGAGTGTTTCTCAAGTGGTAGAACACTTGCCTAGCAAGCACAAGGCAATCCTCAGTACTGCTCCCCCACCAAAAAAAAAAAGAGAAAAATTGAAGAAGGACAGCAAGAGATCACCTTGTATTATCAAGCCCTTTATGTCAGCATTATATCCATTCATGAGGACAGAACCCTTATAGCCTAATTATGTCTCAAAGGTCCCACCTTTTTTAATACTATTGTATTGGAGATTCAGTTTCTGACTTGTGCTTTTGGGGGTACACAAACCATAACAGAACCAGCAAGGAGAGTGGCTATAGAAGTTAGAGTCTAGTTATTAAAGGAAAGTGTCACTGCTATGAAGCATCCGCAGATATCTAACCAGCTCTTCTACCCTACATATTCATCTCTCCCTATGAGAATTTTTTTTTCTTTAAGTGTTCATCTTTAAATATATTCCTCTTTTCTTGCATCTAGTCCTTTGTTTCATCTTCATCTTACATTTTTTTTTTTTTTTTTTTTGTGGTACTGGTGTTTGAACACTCAGGGCTTCATGCTTGCTAGGCAGGTGCTCTACCACTTGAGCCACTCGCCAGCCCTTTTTTGTGTTGGGTATTTTTGAAATAGGGTCTCTTCAACTATTTGCCTGGAGCTGGCTTCAAACCAAGATCTTCCTGATCTCTGCATCCCAAGTAGCTGGGATTACAGGTATGAGCCATCTGTGTCTGGCTCATCTTCCATCTTATTTTCTTCTTACTGGAATCATTCAGTTGACAATAATCATTTTCAAAGCTTTTTTTTTATTCCATGCCACTCTCATGAAGAATTCTTTTCTCCCCTTTCATAGGAATCAGGGAAGTTGACAGTGATCTGCAAGAGTACTGTAAAAACCAAAGATTTCTGAAGAGCATGCATCAGTGCAGTGAACAAAATGCACTTCGAAACAATGTTCATCTGAGCACATCACATGGTCTTCTAATGCAAAATCGTATGTTTGACTTATATAGAAAAACTTTGAAATCAGAATTAAGTTTTGTCAACCAAAAGAGAGAACATGAAATAAATATCCCTGTTGAATTAAATGGAGGTGAGAAAACCCTCCTATGTGGTAAAGATGAACATATATCTACTAAAGTTAAACTCTGTGAAAGTAAAAAATGTACAGATACTAAATTCCAAGAGTTCAGTCATCAGGAGACCCACAAAACTGAGAAACCCCATTCATGCAATGAAGGTGAGAAAACCTTCATCAGAGAGTCTAAATTCTTTTACCATGAGAGCATTCACACAGGAGAGAAACCGGGAAGTGATGACTGTGAGAAATCATTCAGAAGTGTCATGTCCCCTAAGTGTCAGACAACTCATACAAAAGACAAACCCTCTATACTCAGTGAATATAGAAAAGGCAGTACCGTGAAAAGCAGTCTTGATGTAAATCAGCAAACCCACATGGGAGAGAAATCCTATATATGCAGTGAGTGCGGCAAGGGCTTTACAATGAAGCGCTATCTAATTGCTCATCATCGAACTCACAGTGGGGAGAAACCTTACGTATGCAGTGAATGCGGGAAAGGCTTCACTGTGAAGAGCAATCTGATTGTACATCAGCGGACTCATACTGGGGAGAAACCCTATGTATGCAGTGAATGTGGGAAAGGCTTTACCATGAAGCGCTATCTTGTTGTACATCAGCGGACTCATACTGGAGAGAAACCCTATCTCTGTAATGAATGTGGAAAAGGCTTCACTGTGAAGAGCAATCTGATTGTACATCAGAGATCTCATACAGGGGAGAAATCCTATATATGCAGTGAATGTGGAAAAGGCTTCACTGTGAAGCGCACGCTCATTATACATCAGCGAACTCATACAGGAGAGAAATCGTACATATGCAATGAATGTGGAAAAGCCTTTACTACAAAGCGTACTCTCGTTATACATCAGCGAACTCATACAGGAGAAAAGCCCTATGAATGCAATGAATGTGGTAAAGCCTTCAGCCAGAAGATATGCCTAGTACAACATGAGAGATGTCATACAGGAAAGACTCCCTTTGTATGTACTGAGTGTGGAAAATCCTATTCACACAAATATGGCCTCATTACCCACCAGAGAATTCACACGGGAGAGAAGCCTTATGAGTGCAACGAATGCAGAAAAGCGTTCACCACAAAGTCTGTGCTCAATGTACATCAAAGAACTCACACAGGAGAGAGACCATACAGCTGCAGTCATTGTGAACGAGCTTTCTCTCACTTGTCAAACCTTGTTAAACATAAGAAGATGCACACAAGAGAAATGGATAGACTCAATCAAGTTGAAAATTCCTTTAGTACAGACTCACCACTTACTACTCAGAAATGAACTCTTGGGGGAAAAAAAAACCCTATTCCTGCAGACTGGAAGTGTCTCTGTGGCAACTCAGATTTCACTAAACCTCAGTGGGATCCTAACAGATTGGAATGTGATTATGGTACTGTCATCTGTGTGCCCTCAGGAGAATAAAGAATTTGCCCAGGAGATGAACCTAGTTTCAGTAATTTTGGTAGTGCCTTTGGTGATCCTTTACCTCGCATTTTCTGTCACTGAAAACATGTTGGTTCACCTCTCATACATTCAATGTGGATATATCTTGTGGAAACATTTCTAGCTCAAATCTGAAAATTGTATAATGAGAAAATTCTGTGAATGTGAAGAATAAGAAAGCCTTCTGTGGAAAGATAGTGATTTTGTTTTCAGGATTCATCATGGGTTTCTTGTGAGTTCATTGTTGACATAAATATGACTGTGGCAAAACCTTTACTCAGCAATAAGACCTCAATGAGTGTCAGAGTTTACACTGGAGAATAACTTTAAGATGGCTGTATATATGGCAGGATTTTGGTGGTACATTCCACCTCATCATTTGTCAGGAAATCAAATAGAAAATAAAATTTTTCTGGACATGCTAAATGTGGAGCACCTTTAGCAAAATGTCAGAGCTCATGAATGAATGGAAACGATGAATGTTCAAGTGCAAAAGTTTAACCTCATTATGCATACCGTAATACACTTCGCATGCATTTTCAGACTACTTTGAAGCTCATGTCTACTTGCTTTGCCAATGATTCCATAATTTATTTTTTATTTATTGTTACTTGTGATGCTGGGAATAAAACCCAGGGCCTTCAAGCATGCTAGGAAATTGCTCTACCACTGACCTATACCCTCAGTCCTGATTTTGTCTGATGTGGACAGCAGTCCACATTAATTTTAATTGTTATGTACAATTAAGGTATGATAAATACATTTGGTCTTTGTACCTAGTTCTTGGCACAAAGCTAAAACCCCTGAAATTTCATAAGTGATAGGAATAGCTTATTCATAATGAGGTCCATTTAATCACACCAAGTTTATGCTAATAAGGTAATAAAGGATCAAATTATTATAGGGTGGAATCCTGGAGGGGAGACTTTAACTGAGTGGTGAAATTCACATAGCTTCCAATTTGTGAAAATGATGTCTCAGAATCAAGCACCCCAGCTCCATGGAGATAGGCTTCTGAGCTCTGGACTCTTCCATACTTTGCCCTATGTACCTTTTTGGCTATTCATTTGTGTCCTTTATAATAAACCAGTAAATCTAAGTAACCTGCTTTTTTGAGTTCTGTGAGTCATTCTACCAAATTGTTGAATGTGAGTAAAGGGTCACGGGAACTCAATTTATAAGCACTTGGTTAGAAGTCCAGGTGGCCTGAGACTTGTGACAATCACCAGAAATGAAGTGAACATTGTGGTCAAGATTGTGGTACTGAGCCCTTTAGTTTATGGAATCTGCACTGACTCTAGGTAGTGTCAGAATTGAATGACAGAACACTCAGTTGGTGTGAGACACTGAAGTTTTTGAGACATTGGGACCTTTGCAAACCACTAGTGGGTGTATAAAGTGTTGTGGCAACTTGGAAAATAATCTGGCAGTTTCTCCAAGATCAAACATAGAATTACCACATGACCCAGAATTCCACTGCAGAAATGTGGACATATGTCTACACAAAAACTTGTCCAAGAATGCTTGGAATGGTATTATTTCATAATAGCCAAACAAAAAAATGGAAACAGCATTTGTGTTCATCAACTGATGGGTCAATATGGTATATTTATGTAATCCAGCATTACTTGGTAATAAAAAAGGAGTTATGAACCAATGACATGTAGCATAAATGAATCTTGAAAACACTGTCAAGTGAAAACCAAAGACCACATACTAGTTTGAGTGCATTAATATGATGTGTTGAGAATGAGCAAATATATGGAGAAAGTAGATTAATGGTAGCCTACAACCAGAGGAGAGGTAACCTGGAGGAAATGGGTATAGGATTTCTTTGGGAGGTGATGGAAATGGTCTAAAAATTGTGATTGTGGTTCCACAACTCTATACTAACAACAACTGAGGTGTATGGTGTAAATGGGTGAATTTTTTAGCTTATGAATTAAAGCTGTTATCTTTTTTTAAAATCTCAACTGACTTTTTTGGGGGCAGTACTGGGGTTTGAACTTAGCCTCACACTTGCTAAGCAGGCGCTTTACCACTTGAGCCATTCCACCAGCCTTCAACTGAACATTTTCATGGCTACTCTTCAAACGGATGTTCTGTAACATACTCAACTATTCTTATTTTGAGGTGCATTCAATCTTCCTAAATTGTGTGGTTTTTTATTACCAACACTGCTGTGGTTGACATAAAGGAATTTTACAAAATAAGGTGTGTGGCGCTGGGCACCACTGGTTCATGCCTATAATTCTAGCTGCTCAGGAGGGAGAGATCATGAGGATTGCAGTTCTAAACCAGCCCAGGAAAATAGTTTGCAAGACCCTATCTCAAAAAAATAAAATCACAAAAGAGAGTGATTTTTTTTTTCTACTGCTGGAGTGGCTCAAGGTGTAGGCCCTGAGTTCAAACCCCAGTACCTGAAAAAAAAAGATATGTGTGGCAAACTGAACACATAAGTGATTTCTGACAGAGTCAGTAGAAATACAGCATGTGTGCTAGTTTGCTAGTGCTGCCATAACAGAATACTAGACTGAGTGATTGAAACAATAGAACTTCATTTTCTCCCAGTTCTGGAGGCCAGACGTAGAAGGTGCATGTGCCAGCAGATGTGGTTTCTTCTGAGGCCTCTTGCTTGCAGATGCTGCCTCCTTGCTGTATCCTCCCATGGTATTTCCTCGGAATGTTCCTAGTGGTTTCTCTCCAAATTTTCTCTTACAAAGACACAAGTCAGATTGGATTGACAGCTGCCTGATGGTCCAATTTTAACTTTATCACTAAAAGTCTTTATCTCCAAATAAGAGTCATGTTGGAGCCACCAGTACCTGGCAGGTTTCAAAATTTCTAAGCCATAGTAAACCATGCTTAGCTATTTTAGGGAAGCTTATTAAAATACTGTCTTTAATGAGCAATTGGCTTGCCTTCATGTGGCACACAGATAGAATGTGTTTCACTGATATAACTGCCATTTCCTCACGAAGAACTGAAGGATGCATTTCTTTGTGACAGTGATGTAGAGCTTGTCCACCTTGTTAGTTGTGGTCTCTGACTTGATCTTTCCTAAAATGGAGATGTCAAGTTGAAGAGTAAGTAACAGGCCTTCTCAAATATGGCATTGAGTTTCAACCAAACCTAATAATATTTTAATAGCAGTTTTTTTTAAAGTGATGTATCTGTCTAGTGTGTCAGTGAGATAATGAATACAAACTCCGAACAGAAGATAGACCATCGCTGGGCCCCAGCGGTGCATGCCTATAATTCTTGCTACGCAGGAGGCAGAGATCAGGACGATTGTGGGTCACAGGCAGCCTGGGGAAATAGCTCCTGAGACCCTATCTCGAAAGAAACCCTTCACAAGAAAAGGGTTAGTGGAGTGGCTCGAGGTATAGGCCCTGAGTTCAAACACCAGAACCACAAAAATAAAGACTGACCATTTCCTTTGCCATGTACTCTAGTCATTAAAAATGACAAGCCACAGAAACTTGAAGCTTCAAGCCATAAGGGATGTGAGACTTTGAGGCAGAATGCTACAGTCCTCTTGATGGCTTGCAGTGTGCCTGTAAATGTGGGACCCACTAAAATAAGAGGGCCTACTCTATTTGTGGTTCTATCAGTAAGGGGTCAAGTAAAATGCTGGCTGAAGCACATACTCGCCAATACCCAAAGGGTTCAGTAAGACGCCGGGCCTCTTACTTGGTGGATATAGGATAAGTAGACATCACTTCATTAACTGGTGAAGGTGTGAATCTACCTAGATAATTTTGAGGACTTTTACCTTGCAAGCTGACCCCTGAATTTTATCAGAGGTTAACTACCCCTGGTGGTAGAGGTGTAAATGTCCCCTCAGTCACGCTGAGACAGGGACCACCATGGACACAAAGAAGTCCAGTACCAATGGCTTTTAAAATAAAGGTTTCTGCTTTTTTTTTTTTTTTTTTTTGGCAGAGCTGGGGTTTTGAACTCGACCTCTTGCTTATTAGGCAAGCACTCTCATCAACTATGCTCCATCCCTGGCTTCTGATTTTTTAGTTCAACAATATAGCCCTTACTTTTTCTTATCTGTCTGGAAATTCTTCTTTTTTTAAGTCTGTATACTGTTATGAGGAAGCATCCAGTAATTTATTTATTAAATTGCCTACTAATGTTCATTCATACTGGTATCTGTTACCTTAAACTGCATTACAAACCTTCCTAAAACTTGACATCTAAATTCAATAGACATTTAATTGATTCTTTGAGTTGTGTGAGTTGAAGGCCGGATTTTGACTGGTGCTACATGATATAGCTTGTTGGGTTTTTTTGTTTTTTGTTTTTTTCATATATTTGAGCTTCCACTGGGATGGAGCCATTATTCACATAGTCTTTCATCCTACAAAGCAAACCTGGGTTCTATCACAGTGTATTAGAAGAACTCCAAGAGAGAAATCTCCAAGTCTCAATGAGCAAACCTACTTCTCTCCTGTTTGTGTTACGCTTTCTATGGTTCCATTGGACACCTTGGTCAAAGTCATTTGGGGAGGATATTATTAAAAGTTGCAAGAATAAATATATACAATTAAAAAGATTAATTCCTTATCCAAACTGCTGTTATAAATATCCTTGCACATACTTATTCTCATAAATATAATTTCTACTGAAATTACTTCTTAAAATTGTTAGCTCAAAAGAATGAAAAGTTTAAATTGGGTAATACCAGAATGCCTTCCCCAAACATTATAAACTAACTTATGCAAATCTATTTACTCTACACTCATTCCTACCTCCTAAAAACACTCAGTTGCAACACTTAAGAAATTCAAACTCCAAAGCATAATATCATTACAGTGTATGTACAGTGGGAAAATTACATATTTCCACTATGCAGATGAGAAAAGCTTTAGAGAGGCATAGCAACACTAGAGTATCTTTATTCCATGGCCTCATCATCTGAATATTATT